CCACAGCCTTGGCCTTTAAAAAGCAAGTTCTGAGAAGTTGTTTAGGCAACAAAATCATCTCTGGTAATTGAGAAGAGAGCCAGCTATGAAATAAAACCACAGGTCTTGAGATGGAATTATTTTTTTTTCCTTTTTCCTTATGCCTCTTCAACAGTGTGTTAGGAGAAGAGATCTCCTTTTCCTCTCTCCACCCAATGGTGCTACTTGCCCACCAGGAGATGCCATGCCCCACAGACAGCATGCCAAGACAGGCCAGCTGTGAAGCTGGGCTGAGCTGCAGAGAGGAGCTGGGAAGGAGCAGGCCCAGGGAGACCAGCAGAACATGCTAAGGAATTATGCTCTGCCCTGGGAGCAGCAACGTTGGAACACCATGAGAGGAGAAAAGGCATTGGCACCCTCAGGTTCAGGAGACGTGAATTGCCTTGGCCATGTGTGTTCCCCATAGGTGTCTCTCTGTGAGCATATTCTATGTGTGTGCCCATTCTTTCTGCTGATTCTGTATGAATTTGTGGAAGGGTGTGTCCTGGTTTATGGGACAGATGTTTTTCAGCTAATGCTCTTATGCTATGCAAGTAATGCCTTTACTTTGAGCTAATCATGTATTCTAGCTCACTACTGTAGGTAAATGTTATCACTGGGGGCTCATGAGCTATAGCTTAGGAGTGTGGACCCACGAGTGTATCTTGAACCTGGGCAGTCACATTTGTGAGTGTAAAGTGGGGAGGTATACTCAAAGGGAGTGCTACACACATAACATAATATGGTTCTTAAACAAGTTTAACTGGAAATTTTAACCAAAAAAAAAAACAAAAACATAATTTTGACCTTACAGGAATCACTGAAAATTGGTGGGATGAGACTCATAGAATACCACAATGGGAAGGTAAAACTTGTTCAAAAGTAACATCTGATGGCACATGGATAGAGCACTGACCCTGAAGGCAGGAGGCGCTGAGTTCAAATCTGACCTCAGACCAGACACTTGACACTTACTAGCTGTGTGACCCTGGGCAAGTCACTTAACCCCAATTGCCAAAAAAAAAAAAAAAAGAGTAACATCTGAAAGTAGCAGGGGGAACAGAATGGTTCTATATAGCAAAAGCATGCAAACCTCTGTGGAGATTCCAAGGCCTGAAGGTGAAAACAAAGTGATAATCAAGGCAGATAAGAAGAAAAAATGTAAGAAATACATTTCTGATAATGTGCTACTCAGTGACTGATCAGATAGAAGATGCTGATGATGCTTTTCTGCAGAGGCAAGTACCTGGTCATCTTTTGGAGAACACAGCTAAAATCGGAGCATTTGAAAAATTCCTGACACGCTTGGTGGATAGTTTTAGCCTTCAGGAGACAAAGTGATAAAGCAAGCTTTAGAGGAATATTTCTATCAAGGCAAATGATTTTTCAGCTGGGAAGGGGTAGAACATAGACATAGGCAAAAAGAAAATGAAATCCAGAGTAGATGAAGAAACAGTAAGAGAGCACCTACTAGTCCAAATAAAGGGAAGTCACTGACCTAGTTGAATAACATCCTAAGGTCCTCAGGGAAGTTGCAGGTGAGGACAGTTTGTTACTGATCTTTTGAGAAATCATAGAAAATAAAAGAGGTGTAGAGAATCTTAGAGATGGCAAATGCTGTGCCGATTTTCTGAAAAGAGGGGAAAGGTATATTCTCTAAACTATAGTGGTAAGTTTAGTGCTGATCCTGAGCAGAATTGTAAAACATGATCAAATGGAGATTTCTCTATGTTTAAAAAGGAAGTAGTGATCACTCGATGCCAGTATGGATTCCCAAAACTTAAGTCATGGCAAATAACCTTGCTTCTTTTCTAATAGGATTATTAGTCTTGGTAAATGAGAAAAACTCTATATATGTGATATCTGCGGATTTGAGCAAGTCATTTGATAGCCTTATCTTATTTGATAGTCATATCTTATTGTATCTTTATGTATGTAGTATTGTTAGGTAGATTTATAAATGACTGAATGATTCTACCCATAGAATACTGATTAATGGATTAGATCATTCTAAAAAGAAGTCTCAAGGGTGTCCGTTAGACTGTGAGCTCCTTGACAGCAGGGCCTTTCTTTGTGTCCCCAGCACTTAGAACAATTTCTCCCATATAGTATTGTTGTTGTTTAGTAGTTTTTCAGTTGTGTCCGACTCTTTGTGACCCCATTTAGAGTTTTCTTGGCAAAGATTCTGGAGTGGTTTGCCACACTTCCTTCTCCAGCTCATTTTATAGATAAGGAAATTGAGGCAAACAGGGTTAAGTGACTTGTTCAGGATTACGCAGCTAGTGTCTAAGGCTGGATTTGAGCTCAGGAAGATGAGTCTTCCTGATTCCAAGCCCAGTGCTCTATCCACTGCTCCACCTAGCTGCCCCCTGGCATATAGTAGGTACTTAATAAATAGTTGTTTACCAACTATTTGTTGACTATGCTTCGAATTCTATCCTTTTTTCAAAAATTTTTGTCAGTGACTTGGATGAGGTTCTAGATTACATCCTTAACAAATTAGCAGATTATCTAGGCTAACTAATAATTACAGAAATAGGTTCCAAATAATAGACTTAAGCTAATACAACTAATTTTGATAAAGATAAATGTAAGGTCCTATACTTAGGTTAGAAAAATCAACACAATTCAGGATGAGTTAAATGTGACAACAGAGTTTATATTTTAAAAAAAAAAATTGAAGAATTTCCCCTGAATTCCCTGAACTTGGCATGCCATCTCACATTCCCATGCATTCTCTCAAGCCATCTCCCATGCCTGGAATGCATCCCTCCTCATCTGCCTTTCTGATGCCTTATCTTCTTTCAAAGTTCAGGTGCCACTGGGAAGTGAAGTCTTCTTTGCCCTACATCATTTTCTACCTTGTGCCCCAGTGTGTGTATTTTTCACTCCCTTCTCTTAGACCTGGAGAAACTTCCACCGACACCCCACTGTTCTTCTTGGTGAGTGCCTCTCCTGGATCACTATTTCAGGAAAGGCCCAGCCATGCTTCATTCACCATGTGTGCCCTAAACCAAATCCCAAAGGTGCCCCTTGGATATGGAGTGACCTGGGGGCTTGCTCAGACGCATGAGACCTCCCTAGAATCAAAACAGCCCAAACAACCCCTGCCTTTACCAGATTTGCCGTCATCCCCAGGACAAGGCAACAGCTGAGCTAGGGCCTAGGTATGGTGCAGGGAGAAAGGAGGTATACTTTGTGAAGGCATGGTGCTGTCATCTCACTGTCAGGCACCCCAGGTTTTTAAAAATGCCTTAAAGGGATATATAGACATACACATGCATATCTACATATACCTACATATATGTAGACATACATGTGTGTATACACACACACAGGTTTCAAAAAGTAATTTTTATACTGCCAGTTATCAAAAAGTCTACTCTTTTTGACCTACAGAGTCCTAGGCTGTTAGGAAAGTCATAGCACAAAAATAGATGAAATTATAAGTTTTAAGCATCCAGGTTAATGGCTACCAAAAAGAGAGTAACAGTACAGAAGACAGGGAAGGGCACTGTGGTCCCCCAAAATTCATGATGCCTTCTTTGCCACCCCTAGTAGAATGTTCTCAAAAACACTCCCTGTCTCTCACCTGTCCTGCATTACCTAATCCCCTAAGGTCTAGTCATTGGCTAGAGGAGGAACACACCAGAGCAAGGTGGAGATAATCATTCAGCCTCAGGTACTTTTACTAGTTATGTGACTGAGCAAGATACTTAACTGCTTTGAGCCTCAGTTTTCTCCTTTGTGAAATGGGGATGATAATACATCTACTCCTTACCTTTTAGTTTTGTTGCCAAGAAAGCACTTTGCAAACCTTAACGTGGTCTCCAGATGTGAGCAGATGTTACTATTATCTCTTCTCTCACTCCATGAACTTGTCTTGCTTCCTGCACAAGCATTTCCTATTTTCAGCTGACCAAGGACTGTTGTCATCATAGCCCTTCTTCACTGATTTTATGTACTGAGGCCATCAATGAAGCATACGACATCAGTATGGCAAAACAGACAAAGAAATCCATTCTTGATCATTGTCTGTCTCAAAAACATTTACTGCACAGACTAAAAGCAGAAAGGGAAGAAAAAGAAACTGAATCATTGAAACTAGGCAGTTTTTCCAAGAAAAAATCCTTATATCCTGAGTCCTTTTCAGAAAAACAAACAAAACCAAGCAAAACAACCCATTTTGTAATAGCTTACAAGCATATAAGGCATTTACTGTTTCAAAGTAACTTATTACCTACATTATCTCATTTGTTTTCTTGATAATTTCACTAAAGTAGGTAACGCGCAGATATGATTATCCCCATTTTACAGGTGAGGAGACTGAGTCCCAGAGAGTTTAACACCTGTGAAAAATCACTTGGCCAGTAGCCCTGGGGAATAGTATACTTACTGCATCTTAGCCAGTTTTAGTTTTGTTTTTTCCTACTACATATGCCTGTCTTTCAGCAATTCAGGGCTCGAACAAACTAACTAAAAAAATGAAAATAAGTATGGCCATTTGCTGGAGGTTGGGATTAGGGATACGACCAGGGCCAGCATGAAGGAATTGAACTTGTAGCTATTGATATTCTAGCTACCAGTAAGCTCTTTTAGTTCAGGAAGTTAAGATAATGAGGCATTAATTTCATTGCCATGCAAAAAAAAGCCTTCTCATCATCTGTTCTAGAGTACTCCTCTCCCAGATGTTGACAAAATGATAATACAGCAGTTGGAGATGGAAAAGTGACTCCCACTCTTTCCATCATAATCATTTCTTTTACCAATCTACAGCAATCCTTGGTGCATCCAGACCCAGTGGAGAGGAGAGAACCATGTAAGTGCCATGGTGGCATTTAACACATTGGAATGAGATGTTCCTTGCTGTGGATTCTAAGTGGCTCTTAAATGTGATGACTTTTCTTCTTGATAATACATGTCACTTTGTCACCTCTCTGTGCATCAAGATTAATTCCAGTACTTTCTTCCTCTCATTTCAGGAGCGGCCTATTGCCAGTTCATGGACATGCTATTCCCAGGCTGTATTAGTTTGAAGAAAGTAAAATTTCAAGCAAAGTTGGAGCATGAATATATTCACAACTTTAAACTTCTGCAAGCATCATTTAAAAGAATGAATGTTGATAAGGTAGGGGACTGAATTGCACTTAATAAACTATGTCATTTGACCTTAATGTGGTCTTATAGATTATTTCATAGAGGAAATACAGGAGTCAGCCTTTAGCTGAAAAGTCAAAAGTATAAATACTAAGGTCCATACATGACATTTAAAAATTAGCTCAGCCCCCACAGCGGTTGCACATCAGTTTTTTTAAAAGTCAATAGTAGCCATCTGGCTTTATTTTTTAAATAGTGTTTGTGTTTAAGAAGTTTTCCTATTTTTACTATTATATAGATAGAAGCACTTAAGAGTCGTTATTAGTTATGTTGCTTTTGTTATAGAGAAGAATATCATTCTTATCATATCTTCCTAAATTAGAAAAGTTTTTCTTAAAGAAAAAAGAATAGTGAATAAGAGGAAAGAAGTAGCCTACTTTATGAGGTCATAGATTAAAAACTGGAAAAGATCTTAGTGGGTACTTGGTCCTGACTCCTTCATTTTACAGATGAGGAAACCTGCTGAGAGTTTAATTTCAAACCTAGGATAGCTTCCTCTGCACAATGCTAAACTTGTCTAGGCCCAGGAATGGCATAAGGAAGCTCTGAGAATCAAGAAAGGAGCTAGGGAGCTAAAATTGGGATAAGATTAGAGGTATGTGTATTTTATATATTTTCAAAATGAAGATAACATGGCCTCTAACAAAAGACTCATGAAAACGCTAACAAAGAAGTTTTGACACTATTTCTTAGGAACTTACTTTCCAATGATAGTAATTTCTCCTTCATGTTTTAAACCAGCAGTTCTCAAGTCATAGATCAAGGACCACTGGGGTTCCTGTAACCCTATCAAGGGGTCTGTAAGGTCAAAGCAATTTTCATGATAATACTAAGATGCTTTCGTTTCTGATATGGCAAATACCAATAGATGTAACACATAAATAAAAACTGTTTGAGGTCCTCAGTAATTTTTAAGGGTGCAGAGGAGTCCTGACACCAAAAAAATTTGAGACCCATTGCCTTCAACATTTGACCTCTTCCAGAACTATTTTCTTATTAGTGGAGTATTGGGATTTCTCTTTCTCTCTCCACTTCTCTACCTTTCTTGTTCTACTCATAGTTATTCCTCAGCCTACTATTTCTTCATTGCCATTCCTTAAAATGACTTAAAGTATCCAATCTGTTTTTACTGCATTCAGATAGTTAATAACTTTTTAATAATTAGCAGCCCTGGTTGCTTAATTTTTCTTCATCCTATGATGCACTTTTCTGAACTTGGTTAATGTATTTGCAGAAAAGAAAGAATGTCATATATTTTCATAGGTAGAGGTATGGAACCAACTGCCTCTCATAATGATAGTTAGATTACTCCATTATTATCTGCCTTTGTGCCATCCTACGTACTGATACCAAATTTATCTTCCTAAAAGCACTCTACAGATCTTGTCATACGAACCCAATTTTCTGACTTCCAATGGCTCCTTATGTGAAATTCAAAAATTGTTTTCTTCAGGTTATTGTATTAAACTTTAAGTACAAAATCATCATCATCTACAAAGATTTATTAATGCCTACTGCCAAGTTAATTAAAACAGATATTAATAATTCTTGTATTTTAAGTATGGTAACTTCAGAAAAAGTAAGAATGTTTTTTTTTTTATTTTTGTTTTTGTTACCTGTGAATAGAAAGAGGTTTCATGAAGAGGGTGAAGTCCCCTCCAATTATCGGTCTGTCTTATTTGACTTAATTTGGTTTTCATTGAATCTTTGTGAAGAACATTCTTAAAAAAATCATGGCACATAGTTTAGTTTAACAGGATAACTGCGAAGCAGCGTGCTATAGTGGAGAGAGCACTGGATTTGGCAGCATGGCCTAGGTTTTGTCACTGATGTGTTAAAAGGCTTGCTCTACCTTTATGGATCCAAGATGAGATTCTGCAGGTATATCGTTTATAAACACAGCAGCTGCTGACATTGCAGATTCTCACAGTAGGGTCAGTTTACACTGCCTCAGTTCACATTTTCAAACAATGTTGCTCACTTGACAGAAGACGAGCACCACACATGTAGTCCGGTTCTCACACACAAATTATGACTCTGTCGTGCCTCTCCCTCCCCATCAATCCAATATGTAATTTTTGTGTAATATTTGATGTGAAGCATTATCTTGGTCACAGGGAAGTTCCAAATCGTCTTCAGAGGTATGGGGAGTCCTTTGCTGCCTGCCCACTAAGCATGTGTGTGCTGATTAGAACCAGGTAATTTCTGAGCAGTTCAGAGACCTCATACGAGACCTCTAGGAGGAATGTTGACTGTCAGTTCAGATAATGAACAGGAGGAAAGCCCTGACTGAGTCTCACATATTGATTCTTCTCTTGAGTATGATTCTTTGCTGGCCATGTTCTTGAAATCACTTTATCCCTGCACAGTTGTTCAGGGAATTATAAAACAGACTCTGGGTTTGCTTGGCAGTATTCGCTATTCCAGAAATGACATTTTAGTTTGGTTCTTCTTCTAGAGAGTAGTTAAAAACCACTGATGCTAGAATAGATTTGTTCAAAGACAAGAACCCGAGGGAGAGAAAAACAGTAGTCACAAATTACAAACAAGGCAAGGCAACAAGCATTTATTAAGTGCTTACTATTTGCCAGGCACTGTGCTGAATGCTAGGAATACAAAAAAAAAAAAGAAGCAAAAGACAGTCCCTGCCCTCAGAGAGCCTACAGTCTAATGGGGGAGACAAGAAGTCAACAAACATGATTTGATTTTATTTGGCAGGTCATTCCAGTGGAGAAGCTAGTGAAAGGACGCTTTCAGGACAACTTGGATTTCATCCAGTGGTTTAAGAAGTTCTATGATGCGAACTATGATGGGAAGGAGTATGACCCCGTGGAAGCTCGGCAAGGCCAGGATGCAATTCCCCCACCAGATCCTGGTGAACAGATCTTCAACTTACCCAAGAAATCTCACCATGCAAACTCACCTACGGCAGGTACTATCAAAGCAAAAGGATTTCAGTCTTTTCGTTCTAGAGACCGTTGTCATTTAGCTTGGTTCTCTCTAGCAGTGATCTTTAAGTTCCTTTGGGCTAGGTTTTATTATCATTTATTTTGATCTATCACATTTATCTCAGAGCAGTGGGAAGTCTTCCACAAATCTCATATTTGGAATAAATGTAATAGGGATAGCAGCTGGTCCTGTGATTTCATTAGTTTAGAGATCTCCCAGATGAGGAAACTCCCTGTATCAGCGCAGGTCAATCAGTAAACACTTATTAAGCATTTATCCACATTAAGCCACTGTGCTAAGTGATAGGGATACAAAAAGAAGCAGAAGTCAGCCCCTGCCCTCAAGGAGCTCATGGTCTAATGGGGGAGAAAACATAGGAAATAATTAGAAGTGGGAAAGCACCTGGAATTGAGGGCTTAGGGAAGATTTCCTGTCGGAGGTGGGATATCAGTTGGGACTTAAAGGTACCCAGGGAGGTCACTTGTTGGAGCAGAGAAGGAAGAGTGTTCCAGGAATGGAAGACATCCAGAAAAAATCTCTGAAACCAAGGGAAGGAGTTTGTTGTCCGTGGAACAATCGGGAGGCCAGTGTTACTGGATCGAAGAGTACATATGGGGATGTAAGAATACTGGAAAGTAGGAGGGGGCTGGATTATGAAGGGCTTTGAATGCTAAGCAGATTTTGTATTTGATCCTGGAGGCAACCTGTAGTCAGATGGAGGTGCCTGGAGTCCTGGGAATAAGTAGGCTGCTCAGGGTCACACAGAGCATGTGTCAGAAGCAGGACTTGAACATAGGCCTTCCCAAATCTTCAGACAGCTTTCTGTCTACCACACCACCACCTCTGTTTTCAATATGGAAGGTAAAGTTGTTTAACTTTTTGTTTTGTTGAACCTGAATGATAAAAGAATGCTCAACACATAAACAAATGGGTAGGATTTTTCCTTCCTAATTGATTTTTCTAGAATTTTAGGTAATTAGTTTAGAAGATCATAGATGTACAAATGGAAGAGCCTTCATAGGCCAGCTTATTTTACCTCCTTATTTTACAGGTGAGAAAACCAAGGTTTTCCTATCACTCCTTTTTTTTCAGCAACTCATTTCATAGGAGTCTCAGCAGAAGGAAAGATCACTTCTGCTGGGGAAGGAGGAAAGAATCAGCAAAGGCATTATTGAAAAGGTGATATTTCGCCTAAGTCTTAAAGACTGAGTAGAATTTTTAAAAGTTGAGAAGGGTCAGGGTCAGCAGTGTTGACTTAGATAATAGCGAGAGCTCATAGTCAGGAACATTCAGAAAGCATTTGGAAATAGCAAAGTACCGTTCTTCAAGAATATATCCCATTGGGGCAGTTAGGTGGCACAGTGGATAGAGCTCCAGCCTTGGAGTCAAGAGGATCTGAGTTCAAATGTGGCCTCAGACACTTGACACTTACTAGCTGTGTGACCCTGGTTAAGTCACTTAACCCCGATTGCCTCACCAAAACCCTAATGAAGAACATATTCCTTGGCTTTAGTGAACAACAAGGGGGAAAGTGCTGGAACTGGAGTCAGGGAATGTGAGTTCAAATCCTAGCTCTTTCACTTTGTGCCATGTGAATTTGGACAAGTTACTTATTACCTCTGGGCCTCAGTTTCCTCATTGGTAAGAGGGAGTTTGGACTAAATCCCCTCTAAGGTCCCTCCTGGAAGCTGTCAGTCTGTGGTCCTATATTAGTCCATGTACCAAAGCTTATGTACTTCCTTCCTCAGAGTTCTTTTACTCCTTCTAATCACTGATTCTAATACCCTTGGCTGTCTAATTGGGCAAGTCACAACAAATTAGAAATAGCAAATTATAAAAAGGTCAGAGGTATGGCTACAGGAGCATGAAATGTGGCTGTTGACTGCTTGACATCAAGCAAGGAGATGGGAGAGGGACAAATAGCCCCCTTTATGTTAGTGATCCCTGAGCGCATTGCTGCATTGCATCAAAATATAACAGTTTATATTCGTGATGAAAAATCCTAAGTTGTTAAAAAATGTTCAAATTATGTTGGCTGTAGTCTGTTTAAGAAGACAGAAAAAGTTTTAGAAAGTTTTATTTTTACATTTTAGAAATTTTCCATTTCAAATGGTTAAAATTTTTTAGACACTTAAATGTTTAAATGGATGAGTTACTTAGAAAATTATCTCATATTGAACACATCATTTTCCAGCAATACTGGGTAAATGCGGTCACTTAAATCTGTTGTTTGTCATCCCCACTAAACGTAGGTAGTAATACTGAAGGGTCCTGTGATATAGAGGAAGAGTCCTCTGTGTACACTCAAATCCTCACTTTGCTACTTCCTACCTGTGTGACTTTGGTCAAATCTTTTTAGATGAGTCTCAGTTTCCTCATCTGTAAAATGCTGGCATTGGAGCAGGTGATCTCTAAGGTCCCTTGGGGCTCCATATCCTATTATTTAAGGAATACATTAGTTAATTCTGACTTATAACCTTCACTGGAAGAGGTGTCTGGGTCTTAAAGGAGAACATAGGATTTGAAAAGGCTGAGATGTAGGAGAGGGCATCCCTGATCTAGGGGAAAGCAGGTGCAGCAGAGTGTAGGAGGAGTATGGGAATTGGGCAGTCTGGTTGCTCTAGAGCTGGGGCTATGTGGAGTCTGTGCGTGGATGCAAGCTGTGAGACACATAACTTAAAATAGTAGATGATCCCTTGAAGCATTTCTGTTTAGCTTTGAAATATATTATGTGCCTTAGTTATAATCTGGGCGGTTAGGTGGAACAGTGGATAGAGCACCAGGCCTGGAGTCAGGAAGACCTGAGTTCAAATCTGGCCTGAGACACTTACTAATTATGTGACCCTGGACAAGTCACTTACCCCTGTTTGCCTCAGTTTTCTCATCTGTAAAATGAGCTGGAGAAGGAAATGACAAACCACTCCAATCTCTTTGCCACGAAAACCTCAAATGGGGTCACTACGAGTTGGATACAACTGAAAATGACTGAACAACAAGAAGTTACAGTCTGTTTGCCTGCCTTATATGTACTCTGCTTAAGGTGAATATTGAAATGTGTTTACCTTCTTTGAGCCAACATACACTGATAGCCTCAGGAGGCAGGCCAGTAGCATCCTGTAAGGGGAAGTAGACCTGCAACAAGAAGTTACTGCAAATAAGATAATCCATAAATGTGTGAATAATTAAGAGTGGACTCTTCTGGGCACTGCAGCAAAATGTGCTTTTGCTTCCTGTGTTCACCACAGAAGCCTTTTGTGTATGTAAAATGTCTGTGCTACCCACCTTATTCATTCCAAGGGAAGATTCCAAATTTCTCTAGCTGTCCAGTATGTTGAGATTATTATCTCCTTCAGTGCTGGTGAGAGACAATGTTGCATAGCGGATAGAGAGAAAGACCTGGGTATAAGCCCTTCCTGTGCCAGAGGCTGTGCTGGCTGCAAAGCCCTGAGCAAGGTACTTAACCACCTCTCCGAGCCCCAGCCAACCTTTTGAGACTCTAAGGACGAGAGCAGGTGGGTATCTATCTGCCTTAGGAACAGAAGTTCCTCAATGGGAGTTCCCATATTACTAATGAAATCATAGGTCCTGTGCCAATGTTAAGTTCCAATGGAGATGAACAAATGACTTGGCTTCTTTGGATACTGAAACCTCTCAGCAGACATAGGATTAACCTGTGATGTAACATGGTTTGGAGTAAACAGCAGATACCAAATCAGAGTTTATGATTTCCTGGGGAATTGCATTTCATCTACAGTCGGAAGGATGGTATCTTGAAAGGGAATGTCCTTACGACTTTTGATCTGATAACCAGAGACATGTTTGTGTAATGATACGTGTCTAGTAAATGCAACAATTGCTGGAGTTATTGATGTTTCTTAAGTTGTATCAGTCTGAGCCAAAACCTCAAGTTGAGACGGTCATCACTAGAGATTAGATTTTTTTGTTGTTGTTATTTAGTTGTTTTCAGTCATATCTGACTCTTCTTGACTCCATTTGGGGTTTTCTTGGCAAAGCTACTGGAGTGGTTTTCCAATTTCCTTCTCCAGCTCATTTTACAGAGAAGGAAACTGAGGCAAACAGGGGTAAGTGATTTGCCTGGAGTCACAAAGCTAGTAAGTGTCTGAGGCTAGATTTGTACTCAGGAAGATAAGTCTTCCTGACTCTAGGCCTGGCACAGAACAATTATAAACTTATAAGAAAATTCAAATCTATGGTTCTGACAGAAGCAAAATAAAATATATAAAGTTATGTTATACTCACATAGAGAAAGTACAGTAGTTGTTACAGAAACTGGTACCTAAGCTTTTTTTATCTTTCCTTTTGGAGTTTCTTTATTTCAGCTTCAATATTTGATTGTTTCTAAAGCCAAAAAATAAATAAATAAAGGAGAAAAATCTGATGATTATGTTATAATGAAACATTAGTGATGTCATAACTAAATCTGATAGATGGTGATGTGGATGAATGTTGATGGTAATTGTCAGATGAGGAACTGGATATGTTCTCTATGCAAAGTTTATTTTCTCCAACCCTCCGAGTAGAACTTTAGAGATGAGATTTGAGCATATTCAGGAAGCAAATAATATTTGATAAAGGGATTAGTTGTGGTTCAGTGGATACTTTTTTCTTCCTGTCAAGTATCAGATACTCACCACTAAGCTAACAAGGAAAATGGCTGCATAAGATTTCAGCTAATGCTACTGCTTGCCAGCATTCTGAAGCTACGGTGGACTGCTTGGCTAATTGGGAGTCAAGGGAGAGAGGGGCAAATGGACTCTCTATAGGGATCTCATGACCTCAGCTGAAGAATCTTTCCCAGGCAGATATGGAATTTCTTCAGTTCTCTAACAGCTTTGGTATCACCAAGGCAAATCTGTCCCATAGAAGACAATTAATAGTATTACTTGCTGCTTAAAATATTTGCATTTCTTGAGAGCAAATAAAAGTATTTGGCTATATAGTTTTCTTCTAAAAAATGTGAAC